ATTTTTTTTTTTTTTTTTTTTTTTTTTTTTTGTCAAAAAAGCTTTCTATAAAAATAAAATGAAGTTATGTTAAGAATTATATTTGAAGAAACTCATCTTCACACATATATGTTTTTATTAGAAAATGTTTTTACATTTTTTTTTTTTTTTTTATTAATAAACATATATTTATATTTACTATTAAGAGTTTATATAAAATTTATTAAATCTTAATCATATATTTTTTAGTTACCCTTTTTCTAAGAAATGTTAAATGTGTTACAAAAATTATTAGTAGTAATCACAAGAAAAAAAAAAAAACTCTTTAAGAATAATCTTTTGAAAAAAGTATAAAAAAAAGGAAAGAGAAAAAGAAAGGAAAAGAAAAAAAAAAAATTATATAATTTTAAGGAAAATGTTTATCAAAAAATATATTTCCTAAAAGCTCTATTGTTATTATTTTGTATTTTTAAAGCTATACTTGTTCCCTTAATATGTTTTACATTCTATTATTATCAGTAATTTCATTTTCATTTTCAGTTTTTTTTTTTTTTTAAAAAATAATGAGTTTGTATTTAAAAAAGACTTTATTTAAAAATTATAGTACTACTTCAAATTCATTATCAGAATTTTCATTAGATAGTTATAACGATAAAAATAATTCATATAATAACAAAATATCGTATAGTGATAATGAACAGATAGGATTGAACTATTATAATAATAAATGGAATAATATCTTTAAAAAAATAAAAAAGAACTATAAGCAAACAACTTTTTATGAAACAAATGAAGGTAGAATTAAAAAATGCAATTCTACAAGAAAAAATGAATACAAAAAAAAGTCTAATATTATTGAAAATAATCATTATTTTAATGATACATATACTATTTTTAATTATGATTATATAAAAGTTATTAGAAATATAAAAAAAATGAAAAAAGAAAATAATAATAATAATAATAATAATAATAATAATAATATGAAAGAAAGCAACATAGCTAATGAGATATTTTATTCTAATAGTGAAAAAGAAAAAATTGATATATTAAATAATATTAAAAACGAAAAAATTATCCAATTTAATCCATTTATGACACATATAGAAAGTGAATATACTTTGTATTCTAAAAAATATAAAAAAATAAATATTATCTACATAAAAGAATATAATAAAAAAAAAAAAAAATTTCTTCTAAAAAAAAAAATTAAAAAAATTTATAAATTTCCAAAAGAAATTATTTTTTGTCCATTTTTTAATAGTTTTATAAGTTATGAAAATGTAATAAAATTAGAAAATTACATAACTAAAAACTTATATCACGAAAACATTATTAAAATGCAATCATATTTTTATTTTAATGATGAAATTATCACTTTTTACGAATATGGGGGTATTTCACTTATGAAGTGGCATAAAAAAAAAAAAATTTTTCAATTACAGGAATCTTTATATCAAAATGTAAAAAGAAAAATAAGTAATTCAAATAATAGTAAAAAGGAGAAAAAAAGAATAAAATGTGAAAATGAAATTACAGAAGATACAAAATCATTAAGACAAGAAAACTTTTCTTTTGATTATGAACATTATAATAAAATAATTTTTATGAAAAAAAAAAAATCCATATTAAATGAAATATTTCTTTATAAAAGAAAAATAAAAATAACGAAAAAAAAAAAAAACAAACAAATTTATGTATATCCTGAGTATTTAATAGCAGAAATATTAAGGCAACTATTAAAAGTTTGTCTTTTTTTGTATCAACGAAAAATATATTATAGTGATATTAAACCATCAAATATAGTAACAAAGAATATAAAAAAGAAAAATCTAAATGCAATACAATTTTGTAAGAAAACTAATAAATGGTGTATAAAAAAAAAAGGAAAAATCATAAAAAAAAAACTGTTTATCAAACTAATAGACTTTGAATTCTTGCAAAAAATTTATGAAGAAAAAGCAAATACTGGTGGAACAACTTCTTTATTCAAACCATTAGAAGATTTTCAAAAAATGAAAATTTTTGTTTCTTCAAAAATTGTTTGGCTTATAGGGATAACAATTTTTATTTTATCAACAGGTAAGCATCCTTTTAGTACAATTAACAATGATATGCATATTTTTTACACAATTCAAAACAGAAAGTTTAATTTAAATAGACAGTTTATGCATTACAATTATTTCTCAGATTCTTTTAAAGATTTACTTAAAAAAATGTTAGAAATTAATTTTAAAAAAAGAATTTCTTTTTTTGATTTATTTTTTCACCCATTTGTGCTTTTCGGATAAAGAACAAAAAATTATTTAAAAAAAAAAAAAAATTCATTAATAAATGAACTAAAATATTTACCTTTATCCTTATATATATATATATATAAATATTCATATATATTTATATTATTTATTTTTTATTTTTATCTTTCCTTTTTATATATTTAGTATGAATTTTATTTTTGTTTGAATTTTTTTTCTCTTTTAATTTTACTTCTATACATTATGATTATAAAATTTTTCAAAGTTATAAATGATTAAATTATACATTGATGAAATATGTATTTAAATATAAAAAAAAGAAAATATAAAAAAAAAAAAAAAGTAACATCAATGTTTTTTTCTATAAAGGGTATAAATTGAGCCTAATATATATAATTATTTCATTTTTAATTATATGCAAAAAATAATATATATCCTTAAAAACGTTTTCATTTTTTTTTTTTAAAATATTTTAATATTTATATTCTAGCTTTTTTTTTTTTTTTTTTTTAAATAACTCTATTATTTTAAATTTATGATTTTATAAAATTTAGTTTTTCTTTTTTTTTTTTTTTTTTAAAAATAGTTTCCTTATTAAAAATTTAAAAATATTAGTACTTTTTCTTTTATTTGTTTAAATGAAGAAAATAGCACCTTTAATAATATGTGGGCCATCAGGGGTTGGTAAAGGAACATTAATAAAAAAACTTTTAGAAGAATTTCCTCAATTTTTTAGATTTTCTGTAAGTTGTACTACTAGAAAAAAAAGAGAAAAAGAAAAAAATGGAATTGATTATTATTTTTTAAATAGAGAAGATTTCGAAGAAAAATTAAAAAAAAATTATTTTCTAGAATATGATAATTATGCAAATAATTTATATGGGACTTTGAAAAGTGAATATGATAAAGCAGAGAGTGAAGAAAAAATATGTTTATTTGAAATGAATATAAATGGAGTGAAACAATTAAAAAATAGTGATTATATAAAAGATGGTATTTATATTTTTGTAAAACCACCAAGTAGTGACATTTTATTAAATAGATTAAGGAATAGAAATACAGAAAATCAAGAACAAATTAATAAAAGAATGGAAGAATTAAAAAGAGAATTAGATGAAGCTTATAAAATTGATTTCAATTTCTATATAGTTAATGATGATCTAACAAAGACATATGAAGAACTAAAGAGCTTTTTAATGAAATCCTATGAATATTTAAAAAAATGATTTTTTAATAAAATTTTGCCGTTATTAATAAATGAAACATTTATTAAAATAAATTTAAAATAAAAAAAAATAAAAATAAAATTAAACATATATTTTTATATAAATATGTTTTTATTATTTTGTATTTTTCTTAATTTTTTTTTTTTTCTTTTTTTTTTTTTTTTCCTATGTCACATTTAATAATAATTTTTTTTTCTTTTCATAATTTATAATTTTTTTTTTTTTAAATAATTATTTCTTTAAATAACAAAAACAAAAGAAGTAAAAACTATAAGAAAAAAAAATGATGTTTTTAAAAAAATGATTTTATATTTTTGTAATAAAAATTAATTTTTTTTTTTTTTATATTTTTTTCATATAATGGAAAAAAAAAATCCAAATTTTAAAAAAATTTCAATTAATATAAATACTAAAAAAGATGAAAATGATTTGAATGAACAAAATATAGAAAGTAATGAATCAAAGGTTAAATCAAATTCAAAAGAGATTATCCAAACATTGTAAAAAAAAAAAAAAAAAAAAAATGAAATAAAATAAAATACATAAATGTATAAAAAAAAAAATTATATTCATTATAAAGATGTATATATATATAACATACTTATATTTTTATTTATAATGTATAACCAAATATTTTCTTTAACCTAGTTATAACTATACATATATTTATTTATATGTTTAATTTTTTTTTATTTTTTTATCTTACATGTACCATTATAAGAAACACTATTGAGAACATTAGAAAAGGAACATTTGAATATGAAGATTTACAAGAAATTTATTTTATGAATGATTTAGATTTATTAAATATTATAAATGATGCAAAATGTAGAGAAGACAAAATGAAAAATAAAGATAATATTAATAATGTATATATGCTAGATAGTGATGTTGATAAAGTTTGTATAATTCGTTTTCCACCATCAGTTTCGAAAAAAATAAAAAAACATTTATTAAAAAAAAATTTAGAATTGGAAATTGAACCTACAAATTTATTAAATTCAAGATTTTTCATAATTAATTTTAAAAATATAAATAAAAAGTATTATGGAATATTAGTTGAATTGGCAACACATATAGAAATACATAAAACGTTAGATGGAATTAATTTATATAAAACTAGTGATGTTTCTCAAATGATATATGTATATGAAAATAATAAAAATAGTAAAAAACTCCTTAGAAAATTTATAAATAATAATTTTCAATTAAACTGCGGTATAAGTAATAAAACTAATAATTTTAATTTTCAAAATTATGCTAAACTTTATAAGTATCATGATATTTATTTTGCTCAAAAGCTTATATATGAATATTTAAATTCTGATTTTTATGATTATTATGATATTTATGTTAAAACTTATAATGAAATGCTTAATCATATTAGTAATGAAAAAGAAAATAATAAACAAAATGAAATAGTAGATGAATTAACAGATTTATCAGAAATACTAAGTTCTCTTGATAATACTTATAATTTAATGAATCAAATAGAAAAAGAAAATGGAGATATTAACTTTGAAGCATTACTAAATTATGAAATTGAAAATGAAAACTATGAATCAGATGTATCTGATTTATTATTAGGAGGAAATCATTACTTAAAAAAAAAACATTGAAAAAGAACTATTTTACGTATATATTATTTCTCTTATTTTACGTATATATTATTTCTCTTATTTTACTTATATAATATTTCTTTTATTTTTTTTAAAGGTATTTAAGAAATTAATAAAAATATTTTATGGAACTTAGAAAAGTTGTACACATATAATAAAAAAAAAAAAAAAAAATGAAAGACATATTCTTTTACAAAAGGAGATGAAATAATTATATTCATTCGGTTCAACCATACATAAAAAATATTTCTTATTTTTATAAACAAATTTTGTAGTTGTTAATACCCATTTAAAATAGTATCCATATGGAGGTAAAAAACTTATATAAGAAGGACCTAATAAAAAAATAAAAATTATTAATTATTTATACTTTTTAAAAAATTTTTAAATTATTATAACTTTTTTTTTTTTTGTTAATTAATACATTTTATTGATGTATAATCATTTAAGTAATATCCTGTTTTACAATAACTGAAAAAAAATAAAATGAAAACATAATAAAAAAAAAAAAAAAAAATTATTTTAAATTTGTTTATACATTTTTTTTTTTTTTTTTTTTTTTTTTTTTTGATATCTACTTGCAAGATCTGTAAGGGTTACAGGAATTTAATTTGTGTATATAATAATTACAGTCAATAATTGAATTTAAATTTTTATAAATACAAGGAGAAGAATCTGTATATAAAAAAATATATATATATATATATATATTTTTTAATAAATTCCTATATATGTATTAATTTAAATTATTTTGTATACTTAGAGCAAAATTGTATCTAAAATTATTATATCCATTAGAATAATTATCATTTAAATATAAACCTTTTTCTTTATAATATTTCTTTAAATCATTATAATCAATTTCATTCAAATTATTTTTATCTGTACTAACATTTATTATATTAAAATTTTTAGAACGGACACATAAATTTTTAATAGTTCTATCATTTGTTATATGTCTTCTTATTCTATTACATTTATGAAACGAATAAAAAATAAAAAGAGAAAATATAATTACTATAAAATTCATCTTAATCCTTTTTTGAAAAAGTGCACATTTATAGATTTTTTTAGAAAAAATATTTATAACAAAAAAATGTCATCATTGGAAAATATTGTAGCATTTGTAAAGAGAAAAAACAAAAAAAAAAAAAAATAATAATCATTGTGTTGTAATTAATATATCATATATATTGACATATTTATTTTCATAACTATTTTTCGGTTAAGCAAATATATACTATTATTTAATATTTTCTTTTAATTAATTATTAAAATAACATATTTTTCTGTATGCATATATGAAGATGATTTTTTTCTTTATCTTTTAATTGCCTTTTTTTTTCTAAAATAGAAGTTTATGCACAAATGCGCATTAAAAAATTTTTGTATTTTTTCTTTTTTTTTTTTTTTTTATAATTATTTTTAAAAATAAACCTTTTAAAGATAACTTAAAAAATGCAGAATTTTAATTTTATCTATTATAAGAAAATAAAAATAAGAAGTTTTCACATAACAATTTAAACTAAATTGTTCATATATTAATGAGCAATTTATATAAAATTTATGTAAATATATTAATAAAATTCATAATGACATAAAAATATAAATAATTTTTAAACTTTTATAAATATTATTAGTTATGGGAAATTTTATAGGATTTAAAGAAAAAGTAAAATAATTTTTAAAAAGAAATAATATATTTTATTTTTAATTTTTTTTTTTTTTTCATATATTTTCATTTTTTTTAGAATAAAAATATAGAGAATATAAATATTTTTGAAAAAAGATATGGCTATAATTTGAATGATTTGCATAGTTATATATATAAAATTAATCTACCTTTAAAACCACCTTATATAAATTATGTTCTACAAGAAAAAAATAGAAAAACAGAAAATTTTACAAAGGAACACTTGAATAATGAAGAAGAAAAAAAGTTAAATAATACATCTGATCCTGTTGACCTATATAAAAATTATGAAAGAGAAAATATTAATAATTCTAACAACATCTATTCAAATAAATTAATAATAAATAATAAGGAACCCAATGAAAAATATGATGATAAGTATGTTCATATATCTTATGATAACAATTATGAATATGACTTAAATAAAAATAATATTTACACAGAAGATAATATTTCAGATTATATTTTACAACATACTAATACTTTTTCAAATAAAAATAAAATTAATAAAACTTATGTTAATTTATGTTTAAATTATTATAATAACTTAAATACATGTATAATAAAAAAATATGAAAAAAATGTACAAAATAAAAAGTATAAATTTACTCGTTTACACACATGTAAACCTCATTATGTAAGAAAAAAAATAAAAATTTACATGTAATTTTTATTTTCATTTATTTTCATTTATTTTCATTTATTTTCATTTATTTTCATTTATTTTCATTTATTTTCATATATTTTCATTTATTTTCATATATTTTCATTTATTTTCATTTATTTCATGTTTTTTTTTTTTTTAAATTATAAGGTTTTATTTTCTAGATGTATTAAATATAGAGATAAAAAGTTAATGAAGGAGATAAAAAAAATTGAACTAAATTACTTCAATTCCCTAAATAGTACTAATAAGTACAAAATAAAAATTATAATAACAGCAACTTCTAATATAGATAGATAGAAATATGCTTTATTATACTTTTTTTTTTTTTTTAGATTATCTTATTTGAATGAATTTTTAACAAATTTAAATTATCATGAGGTAAAATAGAAGAAATAAAGCCAAATCAAACTAAAAAAAAAAAAAAAAGATAATATAAAATATTCAAATATTAGAAAAATAAAATCTAAAAAAATATAAGATAATGATAATTATTTATATCAATAATGTTTTAGACATTATTTAGATTGATATTTTTTAATATTTTTTATTATTCCTTTTTTTTTTTTTTTTTTTTTTTTTTTAGTATGTCATAAGTAAATTATATGATGGTGTAGAAAAAATAAAGTATGAAAAATAACTCTTTTAAAAAATTTTTAAATTTAACAAATAAATTTATATATATATATATGTAATTCATTTTGTTTTTTGAAAGGATTAATAAGGAGTTAAATGAATTAAAAGAAAGATATAATAATATTTTAAAACATAGTGAATCAAATGGAGAAAAATTACCAAATATTAATGAACAAAAAAGAAAAACAAATTCCAATAAAAAACATATATTATTAAATATATGACAATAATAATAATGATACCCATTTATCTTAATTGATAACAGGACCAACAATTAGTATAATAATTTCATCAAATATATATAATTTCTTTTATTTCTTTAAAATAATTTTGAAAAAGGAAAAAAAACAAAAGTAGATTAATATTTATTAAAAATGTTTCATCTTTATTTCATTGTTATCATTTATATTTCATTTTTTATATAATTTTTTATTTCTATATAATTAAAAAAAAAGAAGAAAATATTTTTTTTTTTTATTAAAAAAGAAAAATATTAATGTTAAGATAAAAAAGTATCTTTTGAAGTATGTAATTCATTAAATAAAAAAAAGAAAATTTTAGAAATATTAAAAAAGGTAAATTTAATTGTATTATTTTTTTTTTTTTTTATTTCCTATATATATTAATGTTTCATTATTTTCATAAAAGGACATAAATGAAATTTTATTTAGAATAAATATATTACACATAATCATGTAAGAATGTTTTTTTTTTTTTTTTTTTTTTTTCTACAATCATTTTTATTTTTTTTAAAAGGAAAAATATATTATAAAATAATATTTCCATTTATATTTATCAACTTTTTATATATTATAAAAATTTTAATTAAATTTATCATTGTATATAATCAAATTAAAAAACAAAAAAAAAAAAAAAAAAAACA